GTTTCACTACACGTTTGAACACTTGGCACGCGCGATCCTCGTAGAGGATCTGTTTTTGTTTTGCTTAGGGTGTCGCTCCTTTAGGTTTTCTTTTGCTTCTTTAGGATGTTTTTGTGCTGGAATTAGGCCTTCACGTGAGGGCTCCTTTAGGGTGTCTTGGGTTTCACTTAGGGCTTCACTTCTTTAGGGTCTCTGGTTGGTTGGGCTTAGGGCTTTGCTGCTTTAGGATGTCTTTCGTTTTCACTTAGGGCTTCACTTCTTTAGGATGTCTTTGGGTTTGACTCAGGGATTCACTTCTTTAGGGCCTGGTTTGGTTTTGCTTAGGGCTTCCCTCCATTAGGATGTCTTGGGTTCCACTTAGGGCTTCGCTTCTTTAGGGTTTCTGGCTGGTTTGCCATAGGACTTTGCTGTTTTAGGATGTCTTTCGTTGTGACTTAGAGCTTTACTTCTTGAGGGTCTCTTTTGGCCTGCCTTATCGCTTCACTTCTTTAGGATGTCTTTGGCACAAATTCAACAGCATCTCTTGCTCAACATTTTGTGTTCTGTGCACATGGTCGTGGTAATTACGTGCTTTGGCGAAGCTGGGTTTGGTTTTGCTCAGGGCTTTGCTCTTTTAGGGTTTCGTTTGGTTTGCCTTAGGGGCGTGCTTCTTTAAGATGTTTTTGGGCTGGCATTAGGGCTTCAGTGGAGAGGGGCTTAGGGCTTCACTTCTTTAGTCTTTTTTCTTTTGCTTCAGGCTTCACTCCTTTAGGGTTTCATGTGGTTGGGCTTCCGGCTTTGCGTCTCTAGGATGTCTTTGGGTCGGATAAGCCTTTACTTCTTTGGGGTCTCTTTTGGTTTTGCTTCGGGACTCGCTCCTTTAGGGTTTCTTTGGTCTTAGCTTAGGGCTTCACTTCTTGAGGATGTCTTTGGATTTGACTCAGGGCTTCACTTCTTCAGGATCTTTTTTTTGCTTAGGGTTTCGATCCTTTAGGTTTTCTTTTGCTTCTTTAGGATGTCTTTGGGTTGGACTTAGGCCTTCACGTGAGGGCTCCTTTGGGATGTCTTGGGTTTCACTTAGGGCTTCACTTCTTCAGGGGGGTTGGTTTGCCTTAGGGCTTTGCTCTTTAGGATGTCTTTCGTTTTCACTTAGGGCTTCACTTCTTTAGGATGTCTGTGGGTTTGACTCAAGGCTTCACTTCTTTAGGGTTTGGTTTGGTTTTGCTTAGGGTTTCGCTCCTGTAGGGCCACGGTTTCTTTTGGCTTGGCTTAGGGCCTTGCTTCTTTACGATGCCTGTGGGTTAGACTTAGGCCTTCACCACCACCCCCTCAAAAAAAGAACGCTTCTCAGAAACCAGTCCCCAGAAACCACTTCCCAGAAACCAGTCACCAGAAACCAGTCTCCAGAAACCACTTCCCAGAAACCACTTCCCACAAACCACTTCCCAAAAACCACTGCCCAGAAACCACTTCCCAGAAACCACGCCACTTCCCAGAAACCACTTCCCAGAAGCCACTTCCGAGAAACCAGCCCCCAGAAACCACTTCCCAGAAACCAGCCCCCAGAAACCACTCCCCAGAAACCACTTCCCAGAAACCACTTCCCGGAAACCACTTCCCGGAAACCACTTCCCAGAAACCACTTGCCAGAAACCACTTGCCAGAAGCCACTTCCCAGAAACCACTTCCCAGAAACCACTTCCCAGAAACCAGCCCCCAAAAAACACTTCCCAGAAACCAGCCTCCAGAAACCACTTCCCAGAAACCACTTCCCAGAAACCAGCCCCCAGAAACCACTTCCCGGAAACCACTTCCCAGAAACCACTTCCCAGAAACCAGCGTCCAGAAACCACTTCCCAGAAACCACTTCCCACAAACCACTTCCCAAAAACCACTGCCCAGAAACCACTTCCCAGAAACCACTTCCCAGAAACCACACCACTTCCCAGAAACCACTTCCCAGAAACCACTTCCGAGAAACCAGCCCCCAGAAACCACTTCCCAGAAACCAGCCCCCAGAAACCATTCCCCAGAAACCACTTCCCAGAAACCACTTCCCAGAAACCACTTCCCAGAAACCACTGCCCAGAAACCACTTCCCAGAAACCACTTCCCAGAAACCACTTCCTAGCCTCGGGAGACCATTTCACCCGCGTTCCGAAACAATGCGAATCCAGAATCCGAAACGAGACGAATCCAGGTTCCGAAACGAGACGAATTCAGGTTCCGAAACGAGGCGTCGGCCCGCCTCACCGTTCCGGCAAACGGGCAGTTCCAAAGGTGTTTTCCGACGTCCGCGAACGGGAGATGCACCTGAACCTCATTCTTCAAGTTCAAAGCAGGTGGTGGGGTATCACTTGCTGCGCTCACCTCAGAGGAAAACAAAGACAAACAGCGGGAGCAGCGTGTGCGTGTGGAATGTACCTGAATCCAAGGTATATACAATAGAGAGGCTAATTCTTTCTTGGAACCTGGGACGAACTTCATTTAGGGTATATAAACCAACATTTCAAGATTTGCCCGTTTATTAATCAGAGGTCAACATTGTATGAAAGTGGTGCCCGTCCATTGATCCTTGGAAAGCAGCTATGATGCCCAAGAATCAGGAGCTACTTCCCTACATGTCCCTACCTTCCCCTGTAGCGTCCGGCTTCTTAGAAGCGTTCACCCTGCAGCGTAATTCCTGGCCGTATGAATCCAAACACGTGCTAATTGCCGATTCTAGCGCAAAGACTGCAAATACCGGCAAACCTGCCAAAGACCGTAAATATCAACCACCTCTGAAAGCAACAGCTCGGACGATTCAATTGTCGGAGAGACTTCTCGGGTCACACCCCTTAATTCAACCCAACTTGGCTTTGTTCAAACTTTCAACAGAACACATGTCACGCAATTTCACGCCGCGTTTGTCGTATTGCATACTTTCGCGCCATTTCGTTCAGATTTTACGCGCTTTGTTCAACTGGGCACGAAGAGTGCAGCATGTTCATGCCTGCCAAAGGGTGCACCATGGACAATGCACCCTTCCCAGCCGACGATGTTCCATTTACATTGGCCAAGTATGTGAATAGCACATGGTTGGATTGTTCGGGTGCAGTTCGAAGGGCCATCAGCGAGGCCCAGGTTCTGCGACCGTCCGCATTCCTGGCGGATCCAATGATCCGCAATCAAACCGTGTACCCAAAGACTCCATGGGACTGGTCGATTCACATACATGGTGGCTGAAATTCTGAAACATGGCTGAAACGGGATCTATCTGCCAATCTCATGGAATTTCTGGGGTACAACAACATGTCCAGGTTTGTGTTTCGCGTCAGGTTTTCATGGTGATCCATTCACCCCGCCAGGCCCTGGTCATCAACACCTTGCCAATCCTTGCCAAGTACCAGGGCCCCCATAGCGCCCATAGAGTTAAGGAGGGGCCCCATTCAAGGCCCCTTCAAATCTTCAGGGGCGCCGCTTGCAGAAAGGATCCATTCGCAGGGTCCTTCTTTTGGGTCCCTTCGGGGTCCCTTCACAGCACCCGTCTGGGGCGGCGATTTCGCCGTCTGGTCCTTCCCTCCTGTCCGTCGATCCATCCGAGTTGGGGAAGGCAACGCCAACGCCATGGAGCATCTACCGATCGGATGCGGGGAACACCCAGAACAGCGTTTCGGTGATGTTCGGTTTCACCGCCAGGGACAGCGGCATGAGACAGCATGGAAGACAAACGCCGTCTAGACGTATCGAAACACAAAGAAACCACCCCCACTTGCTGGGCCAGGCACTGAAGTGCAAAGCAAAAGGAAGATGTGCAAGGCCATCATGATCCCTGGCCGTGAGGACCGGCCCAAAACCATCGAAGGACTTCAAACGGTCTGCTGAAGCGAGGCTGTGTTGGTTTGGACTTAAAACTGGTGCTATGGAGACATCATTTAATATCAGAAACAAAGCCAGTTCCAAGCCCATGCAAAGGATCATTGAAGAACTTCCCTACGCCAGGTGGAGTTGTCATGAGCGCCTCAAGATCTACACCCATGATTTAGTTACAGTGAAGTCTGGTTTTCAGCCAGCCCAACACAGAACCATCCCCAATGGTTGCCAATCAGCTGACCTACGCTACTCATGGGCTTCTCAGATATACAGGGATGCGGATGTTGATCGAACGCCATGTCAACACATACAGCAAGTCTTACGTCAATCCTCTATCATTTCCACAGGCTGTTGACCGTCTTACACGCATCGATGCCCGTGGGATTCTTCTCTGTCACCTCCGCCCCACGGCGCCCTGCGGCCTAGATCGACGCCTAGATCGTCGATGTTAACGTCGTGTAGAAAGAGCTTAATTTGAGCAAAACAAAGGACGGCCAGGGCGGTCACGACCTAGAAACGATGGCCTCCAACCTAACAGGAATGGCCTCCATCCTAATAGCAATGGCCGCCAACCTAGAAGCGATGGCCGGTCTCTCAATAAGGTCTCTGAACAACCTGTCTGGGCTGCCCAAAAAGAGAACACTTCCGCGGTTTCGGGTGACTTGACCAGCTTCTGCAGGGTTACTTCACTGTTCCCACGGTGGCTTGGTATTTGTTTGAGACTTCACCATTCAGGTGCCTTGCCACACCTGTGACTGTTGAGGATCGTCGTACATGTTGGGCCCCACCAGCTTTCAGGCCATGCGGCCAGTCCATGCGTGTTGAAGCGAGTGCACCTCCATAGGCAAGTGCAAACTGGACATGGGGAAAACAAATTCCATCAAATTCCCCATGTTCCTTTCAGAGAAGACATCGATCGAGGCACTGGGTCGAATCGGTGTCGATGTTCCAACCACCCGCGCATGGCGGCCATGCATTCGACCTTGAACCACCTGGTGTAGTAGCCGTAGTGTCAGCAGCATTACAAAAGAGAAAAAGACATCTAAAAAGGTCTAAAGAGAGCACCTATAGGATCACCTAAGGTGTCGATCTCTCGTCTCATCGTAGTGGCACAATGACTGCGTCGGATTCATCATCAAACCCCTGATGTCCGGGCACAAAACCGCCGCCTGAGGGAATTGATGTACTGTTGCATTTCCTTCTTCTGGTTGATGCGGCCGCAGCGCTCCATCAACTGGGCCATGGCCCATGGGTCACTCCAGTCCACTCGGCGGAGGGGGCTCGGATCGGTCGAGCTGGAAGACAGCAGGTGTCTCCTCCTTGGTGTCTCACCTCCCTTACCCCATGAACCCATCACAGGGAGGTGAGACACCAAGGAGGTGAGACACCAAGGGAACCTCCCATCACAAACTGCGAACGGTTCCATGTTTCGAGGACCAATCACATCCAACCACCCAGCCCGAAACAAATCATCCGCGGCAGTCCAACACACCGTTATGCACACAACATCACACATCTATCAAGAACATTCAAGAACTGCACCAAGTTGTGACTGACGTCCAGGGATTGTCTCCCAAATGCATGCCTTGAAGAACCTTTACTGCAGCCTTAGTGCACCAAAAGAGCGAGCAATCTCCCAATCCACTCAGTTGCCCCACATCTTCCAACAGCTCCGTGAAGACGTTGAACCTGCGGATGTCGATCTGCTCCTCAGCTGTTCGGGTGCAGCAAACGCTCGGCTTCGCTCGGTTGAGGTGTCGACAAATCCCTGAACCCCAAAGGCGGCAGGTTGGGAGGCACTGAACCCAAGGACCATCCCTGTTCAAATCCCTGGTGGGTTGAGGTTCAGGTTGCTCTCTGCGAGAGGTTGTTAGGGAATGCGTCTGAAGGCTCTTGGAAGGTCCTATATAAAGTGCATCAGTGCACTTGGCATCTTCCCACTTAGCAAATGTGCAGGCAGGATTGAAAGTTCCAAAACTCACCTGAACAAACACAATGCTCCTTGCGCCTGGAGACACCAACAAACTGCCATGGTGCCCTGGAGCCTCCACAGCCCTGAGTCACCCAACAGCTGGATTTTCTCCGAGTCACTGCGGCGGCTTGACCAGAGGCTGCGGGATTCACGCCAACCTCCAAGGGAAGTCCAAAAGCGTTGGATGGTTGCCGTGAATTCCACGTGTGGGAAGTCCAAGGCGACGTCCCTCCAACGGAAGTCCGTTGGATGGCGTGGTTTTCTCGCCTGAGCGACCCTGAAACCACCAATATTGAGGACTGAGGACATGCGAGGCGACTGTGAATGGGCCTCGTGTTGGGTCCAGGAACTGGCGAGTGTATAAAGCGAAATATGGCCAGGCCATATCCCCATTCTCAACAAATCTTTGTCCCATGAACAAACTGCAAATGTTCATCAATCGAAATATAACTCCACCATCCTCCCAGCTGCTTTTCGTCTTTTTTGCCTGGAACGCATAGATTGGGCAATAACCATAGCCTTGGGCGCAGTTGCACCGATGTGCACTGTGCTTCGCTGCAGGATTAGCAGGACACCAACACCCTTGTATCAAGACATGGGCCAATATGGGCCATGGGACAAAAAATAGACATCTGGACCTGCAATATCTGCTCTCATTAAGCTAGATCTTTCGTTCATCGAAGATGGAGCCCCAAAGCAAAGCCATTTGCGAAAGAGTGACTGTAGCCGATCGCCATGTGTCGAAAGATGTGTAATTAAGCTGCAAAACGTCATCTCTTAGATCCAATCAAGTGCACTACTACTATCCAATCAAGTGCACTACTACTTGAGGATTGCCACTGGAAAAAAAGCCTCTTGCACTACACTCCCGAAAACTAACATAGACCATGAGAATGGCCCCCTGGAAGAGTGTTTTCCTCTACCAACCAGTGGTTTTCAGGGTCCATGTTAGTCTTCCAGGGTGTATCCATCTATATACGTGCTGCTCCAATGCATGCAACATGAGGCTCTGAGCAAGGCGACGTTTCTCCACTTCTGCATGGACCACGTCCTCAGGACGCGACGTCCGGCTGCGCCGGACCGGTGGATTGGACAAGAAGTTGACCTGCACCAGGGCCCCCCATGGTTAACTGGTTCAATAATGGGCCCCTAGATCGAGGTTTCCGAGGCAATCAAGTCTATTGGAATAAGCCTGTTGTGTGTTGCTACTAAGGCTTTTGGCACAGGAACATGCCGAATCTGTCCCCTGATAATCAATCCTGAAGTTCGACCATTTGAGCAAATCCCAAAACACCCATGCACCTTCGACTGTCCACTTGAACCAGCAATGGACGATGACCCTGCTTAACCAGGAAGTGGCCTACCAAATCCCCCGTCCGTTGCTTCCCAGCAGGGTGCAGTACATAGAGTAGCTTTCTTCAAAGTTCCCACCCGTATCAGCTCACCAGCACTTTGTCTTGGTCTTTGGAAAGCTCTAATTAGTATAGAAGTAGATTCCCAAGCTTCATGTATGTTCATGTATGTTCCAAAACATCTATATTTGCCTTTTGTCTCAAAACAAGCTAGTCAGCAACCATACTGTTGCACAAGCCATCCTGCAGCTCAGCCGCGATAAAGCTTTGATCATCGTTTCAGCTGCTTGTCTAGCAGCTTCTGATCTTATTCTTCAACCTCACCGGTGTCCACCGTTTGAAAAAACGGAGCTCCTTGGGGATGACGGGGCCAAGACCTCCGAGCCGCGAAGCCGCGCTCGTCGGAGTGGATGTGGTCTCCACATATGGTCTCCACCGTGTGAGTCAACGCATGGCCACCAAGCAACTTCTTTTTTCGAGTTGGACAAACAACCGTTTTCCATGTCCGTTTTTGTTGGAGTTGCTTTTTTGTTTAGACTGCAGTACCTGTTGCCAACGAGCAGGTCGAAAGAAAAGACAAGTGTTGCTTTGAGAAAGGTGAAGGAAACCACATCCACAAGATCACTTCTTCAAATGTTGCAGTGTTTCTTATTTTGATTCAACAAAACAGTTGATCATATCTATATGAGTCTATATGTCTATACTATGTGAAAGTCGAGAATGAGTCAATGCCTCTTGACCTTGAGAAGAGTCACATATAATGGTTTAGGGCGGCACTACTTCCAGGAAGTGAGGCCATCTCTGAACACATTGTCTGTCCCAAAACTCGATCACAGGAGAGGTCGTCTAGAACTAGAGGTGATTCGGGGTGTCCAAACAACATCCAAACACCATTAAACACCATCTCTTGGAAGGTCCTATGAAGTCTGTCACTTGTCGCACTGCCGTCGCCGCTTCTGACCCCCGGAACCCACGCGCGCCGCGCCTCCGTGCACGATGACGATGCGCAGTCCTGCGATGGCACCAACCTCGGCAGGATCGTCCACGGGACGATCGTCCAGGTTGGACCCTGGGACGCACTCTGCCGGAACTGGACCGGACAGGGACAGACCGCTCTAAAACTACCCTCTCTCCAACAATCATGGAAGTGGACGTTCTGGCCCGTGGAAAGATCATTCTCCTCTACCAACAGGGGGTTGTCCACTTCCTTTGTTGCCGGGAGGGTAGGTCTTTCCAAAAATTCCAATGATGGTCTAGGGAGTGTTTTACCGGTCGAGGAATTCCCGCTCGAAAACCTCCTGACTCGGCCGCCGGGGTCAAAGAGGAACCTGGATCTCCCCTACTTCGGATGTGTTCACCTGCTGGTCCAAACAGAATGAACAACGAAAACGACGACAGAATATGGCAGAATCAATCTTGCGTGAACCCTGGATCTGTGCAACTCTGTACTGGTGGCTGCTAGGCAATTGCTATTAAATAGCCATTAGTCAGCCCTGCTTCAGAAGTTGGTTTGTAAATACACATCTCCCAAACCATTCCGACCAAACAGAAGAACAACTTCAACACACATGTTATATAGCAACGCACAGTAGGCCATCAACATATGGTTCTGTAGGGGTAGAGCAACCAATGAACACCCTGTTACTGAGAAATGCCTGCGCCATCCTGCACCTATGAATTGAGATCCGCGCACGCTCAATTTCCTCCATCAACATGTCAAATTGGCTCACACCTCAGCACTTGACTCCAGGACTGAACTAAACGTTGATGTCTCTGCTTCATCATGCTGCCAATGGGGGTGCAAATAAAAAGACGTCTTCGTTATTTCCGGCAAAGCTAGAGCAAAACTAGACGCGCTGAAGACAACACACAGCAGCAAAAATGGATCGTTGCAAACGAGCTCTGATCAGCAAAAGAAACATTTCGATTTCAGTAGCAATGTTTCCAGCAATTTCAATCAAAGGATCATGACCGGGTGGTACGCAAAAGGATTTCCTTCAACACAAACATCACAAACCACCTTGTTGTCAACGCTGTCAGGTGTTCACATGCAGCGGAGGCAGGATCAACTCTGACCACCCACGATCTCAAACAGCATGTACCTCATTGACTCATTGATCTGTACTATAGTAGACACTTGGTGAGTTTGCGGTTTGCGCTTAAGTCATTTTTTTCTGAGGCCCGTGTGCCCTTCTTATCCCTTTTTCTCTTTGACTCCACCCACGGTTCTTCCGAACCCATCGCCCTCAACTGAGCAACTCTTGGTCTTCAAGATGATGGGGACCACCCTCGCCTGGCGCCAAAGACGAGGTGGAGCACCACTGGGAGGTGAGAAGGCGGCAACAACAACGAGCAGCCCGGGCGTTTGACGGCGCCGTCAGGAATTCGCTGCTTTGGGGAAGGTGTGCAGTTCTTGGAAGGACAGGGCTAAAGGAACGGCAGATTGGAAGACTGGACTTAGTGGAAGAGCAAATGTAGGAAGAACTAGACTCCCTGAAACAATCATCAAAGTGGACCATGGGCCCTTGATATGACCATTTTCCGAATACCAAATAGGATCAAATGGGTAGTATTCCATGTCCATTATTGTTTCAGGGAGTGACTATGTCATGTCTCCGACGAGCTACTTGTACTTTACTACTCACTCACAAATAGGACCAATCATATCCAGGAAAAGGCCAAGCCCAAGATAGATGTCCGCTTCCTTCCATGAACATCATCTGGCCAAAAACCTCAATCCACTACCACCTGCTGAGAAGGTCTTGGAAGTGCTTGGGGTGCTTTTCTCAAGGCAGCTCAGCTTCTGGGCTTTTGCATCATCTACCGTACTCGATGGAAGTCCTCTGGTTGCTTTCTTTCATGAGAAGTGGACAGTCGCACAAAACCCGACCAGGCTGACCAGGCCTTGCGGGGAAGTGGCTGCACAGGTTCTTCTCCTGGGTTGGTTTTGCGCCGTGTCCGCCTCCCCCGCCCCAAACAAAACCTGAAATGATATAACCCACCCCTCCTCCAGTGGCCAAACCACCCTGAAATAATTTCTTCCACGGCATCTCGCAACATCTCACACTGGGAGGATTATATTATATAGTGTCCATTAATCTCCAACTTAGATTTCGTGAAAGTTATCGAAACATTCTAGGATCATAGAAAACATCATTGAGAAAACCAAAGAACACCTCATTGCTAAAAATCCAGCCTCCATCAACAAATGCCAAAGAAGAGTTAAAGTTAAAGAGCAAGAGGCCTTAAAGTTAAAGTTGAAGAGTTAAAGAGTTAAAGAGACCCTCTGGCATGGGCTGGGTAGACTGGTCCATTTTCCCTACCAACCAGGGGATCGGGACGCCGGGTGTCCGTCTTCCTGTTTGAGCTACACAGAAGAGATCAAATCACCCGATCCACTGTGTCTGGGTCGGCCGACGAACATCCCGACTCTCCAAAGGTCCTTCAGAGTCATCCGCCATATCCAGCTCATCTTCCTGGAAACAACGCGAGCTTGGCAGCTTGGCAGCCAATGGGTTGGCTGCAGTACGTAGCAGGAAACATGAACCCCCAAAGGGCTAGGGTATTTACCAATTCACGATTTGAGATGTTGAGAATGCCACAGTATCGTAGAAACACTACCCAGTGGATCACAGCTAAATTTCTGTACAACACAAAACTTAATCTATATATTCTAACTACTGTAAACGAAACACAATTTGTCTTTGGAACAGACGTGAGCTACGTGGCACGTGGTGTTCAGCGGCTAACGGTGGGTCATCAAAACTCCCGATTTGGCTCCTGACCCCACAACTGAATCCGCCGCTGACTTAGCTCCAAAATCACCACCGCAAGGGATTTGCTTCGAGATGTCCATGACTTGGTGCATTCGATTCCTGTGGGACGCTACTCTGGTTGCTATAGAGGCTCCCCCTAAGCCGAAGAAACGAAAGGATTCGAAGAGCTCATGTTCATGATCATGTTCACATCGCGAGAAAGAAGGTCCAGCGTGAAACAACACAAGCACCTTGATGCACCTTGTACATCTACCGCCTGGTTCTGGTTCTTGGAGATATCAATAGACCTTGGAGTCTTGGAGGACTAAAATCACTGGGGTGGAGGCAATCCCAGCCCATGTCTGCCCGCTGCTCTCCCTCACGCTCCCCGCTTCCATCGTCAAACGCCTCTCCTCATTTGCCTCTTCGGCCTCGCTTCGAAGGTCCGACCCTCACAACTCGCCCGTACCCGCGAACCCGTTCTCTCCAATCACTCTCTGGGGTCGAATCGTGGATCCATCGCGGGGCGCCCAGCGATGGATCCACGACTCGACCCATCGATTCCGCCGGCGCCGACGGTCCAACGCGTACGCGTCGCGTGGGTCGCGTCGCCCGAACCGACGGACTGGCGGTGGGGGTCGCCCGAGGAAGAGAAGGCGACCGACGTAGTTCGGGAATCAATGGCGAGCTTCCAATGGACCCGCAAAATGGGAGACGACCTAGAAGAGACCCAACTGAACACCAATAAGGTTCCACAGTTCCTGTCGTAAGTCAACGTGATCTTTACATTGAAATTACATCGTAACGTAATTGAATTTTCCTATTATCTGATCTTCCTCTTCTTCAAGGCAATGTTTTCAGATAAATTAATGGTCTTTCTTTTTCTAATTTCCCATCCAATCATCCAATGGTTTAAGCTCGGGCATCTCCCCCCGGCACCCACCTCAGGCGTCTCCCCGAAGGCTTCCTGTCGCAAGCGCTCCGTCATGAGCTTCTCCTCGTCCCGCAACTGAGCCTCCAGCGGTTCGGGGTGCGAGCAGGGAGATCTGGGTCGGATGAAGCGTGCCATGATCTGTGGGATAGACGGGGATCGATATATATATATATAGTTATGTAGTATAATGTAGTATACAGGGCATCTTATAACCCAAAAAAACCGAGCGATTGACGCAAGCAAAGAAATGGTTCATTGTTTGCCACGCACCTGGTGATGTTATTTGTCCAGCTGCATTTACCTTCATGAGAGCTTTTGGAGGTGCAACCCAGAAGCACGACACGACTGGATTTGCCAACACAAAGCACCCACACTGTCAACAATGGCTTCCATTAAACAAAAATCAAGGCTCTGCACAACAAAACCAAATTGTGGCCCTTGCAATCATGGTGATGATGAGAATGTAGCTGATGCATATGTGGATAATGGTGAGGATGAGGATGACGAGAGTGAAGATGAAATGAATATGATGAGGCCGTGCCACGTGCCTTTACTATCCCAAAGATTGTGCATCAGCATCTTCTTCCTCTTCATCATCATCATCATCATCGTGGCTATCCATACATCACTTTCCACCGAAACTGCAAAACCCAACACACCTATGAAGCACACAGCTAAAGACGCTCAGTATATCTTGGGTCTATGCTATTGCCAGGTTTCAGTGGATGATGATTCTGATGTCCGCCTAGGATCCATAACTGGATCCATAAACAGCACCGAAACATAGCGAAAGCCTCCCACAATTGCAAAACACAGTACCAAAATAAATACCATGAATAACGCAAAAACTCACTGAACAAACACATCCGACCTAATTGAAGAGTACATTTCTGCTAAGTATGAATTGGAAAGCATGTGGATAGGGATTGGCTTTGTTTCAGTTTCCTTTTGTTTCATGCATATGTATTCCTGTCATGGTCACATCAGACTTGTATGGATTCGAAAGACACACAATATGTACCTGGAAACATATATCAACTCCCGGAAAAAAGAAAAACACCCATGACAAACAAGTCGTATTGAAATGTATCGAATTCTGGTTCTTAGTACCCTACATGCCATCATTATACGTCCATGTCTCATAGCTGCATGATTCATAATGGGTGTTTGATGGCTTTTGGTGTTTATGTTAATAATTAGACAGACCATTCAGGCCATATGATATTCTGTTTCGGCAGTTTCTCGTTCTCAGGCGGCCTTGCGCTTCTCCTCCTCCCAGCGCGCCACGTCTCGAAACTGCCAACGAGCCTTGGTGAAAGAAGAATGTGTCAGCCCAATTTGTGGTGTGGCTAAGAAATGCTAAGCAGAGCACCAATTTAGCAGCCAGGATTGGACATGAAGGCGATTGGGTCTTCTGGTGGGAATTCAAAATGAACGGACGCCCCTGGTCACCTGTTTTTGCAGGACCAAGGTAAACATGACCTCCTGCACCAGGCAGAATCTCAAACCCAGTTGACCATCTGGACTGCCCTGGCAGAAACAGGAACGTCAAAGACTCACGCATCTACTTGGATTGCCTCCCTCCATCATGAAACCGAACCCTAAGGCCCTAAAAAGTCCCCAAAGTCGACCCGGCCACCCAACTGCCCCCCGCCCTGCCCCGCCTGGACCCGACCGCTGTCAATCTGGGCCTCTTCGGACCAGTCCTTTCGATCCATGTAGTAGACCTGAGGAAGGAGCGCTCAGGTCTACTACATCCCGGTGGTCCCCAGGTCATGTAGTAGACCTGAGAGGTCTAAGGAGCGCCCAGTGCCTCCCGGTGGTGCCTAAGCCGAACAGGCGCCATGTCTTCGGGCGGTCCGCCCGAATCGGGCGAACGGGTCACTGGACCCGGTCGGTGCTGACCGAGAGGTTTGTGGGAGTGGCGAAAAGGCCGGGCGTTGACGCGTTTGGAAGGAGAACTAGAGTGAAAGATTGTCAAAGGACGAGGAGCAAGAAGCTACTAGGGGCTCCTGGCATCGCGACTAAGGGCAAGGACGCTGCATCGCTACTAGGGAGAGGCGAACAGTCCGGTGTCTTTTTGGAAGACGAACAAATGGACCAAAAGAACATGACGAACGTCTATGACGGTGACGACGGTGACACGCTGACTGGCAAGACTGCAAGACTGCATGGAGTCTTTTTCAGCTCGGTTGGAGGGATCTCCAGGCCATGCGGGATCCCTCCAGCTTCGACCCTTTTTCATCAAAGAACACAGTCCTGTCATATCCTGCCATTCTTCTGTTTCAAATGCATGGATGAAATCTCTTGTGGCTTGAGCCGTTCATGTTGGTCTTGCATGGAGCCGTTCTCACTCAACCGAGCAGCGAAGTCCCTCTCCGGCGCCACCGTGGCCGGATCCGCAGACCAAGCACCTGGCTGTGTCCACACTCATCAGCCCAACTGGATTGGACTGGATTGGCCAAATGGACGACCTGCCCAAAAAAGAACTTCTCTGGATGTAGAAAGAGGCTTTAGTATGCTTTAGTCACAAATTCCTCCAGTTGTCTCTTCCCAGCAGTCCAAAAAATCGTGTAACTTTTCGAACACATCCAAATGACCCATGTTCACACCCACTTCCTTTTCAGTACTCTGGACTCTCCTGGATCCCCATCCGGGCCTGTGGCCACCGGCCGAGCCGTCGTCCTCCGCGAGGACTTGCGGCCGCCGGTGCCTCCGGGTGCGGAGCGCAGCGGCTTCCGGACCGGTGCGAGGCCGCCCTCCGAAGGCGGCGAGGTCTTTGCTTCGGGTACTTGGAGGGGCTTGGAAGGGGGTACTTACGTTGGAGCCATCCAGAGGTCGATGTCTTTGTGAAAAGCTCGGCAAGAAGTGTCAGGTGTTCTTGTGAACCAGTGAAACGATGTGAAACGTGTGCAGCAGTCGGATTCTAATTACTATATAGAAGATACTATATAATAGGCCTCAGAGAGGCGGATGTGACCGGATAGCCCGGATGCCTGGCGAAAACCTGGAACCGATTTCTTGCTGCAGGTTTTGCACTTTCAAAGAGTGGCCCTCGATGTGGAATTTCTGCAATTGCTCCTCAAGTTGACGAAATAACAGGTCAACAAAACCACACAATTACAAAGCTGAAAGCCAACATGAAGAACATGACATGAAAGCCCAAGAACATGATAGCTGTCGGATTTGAGCCCACGCGCTTGCGGAGTAATTAGAGCTTGAATCTACCCCCTTAGACCACTCGGGCAAATTCTCCTTGGATTCTAGGGGGTTGGAACGACTGCAACCCTCCACGGGTAACTTTCCCCAACATGCCCCAAGAGCGGGCTTGAAATCTATAAGAATGCCCTGGCATGTTCTTTGTTGCTGGGAGATGTGGGGGTGCAGACATTAAATCTGCTCTTGGTCGTTTTGGCTCACATCGAAACAGTGAAAACCGCTGGCCCACATGACCCCTACGCCAAATCAAATGACTAAATGGCCATGGGCTACCCATCAACCCAATCTGTCTCAAAGTGCTCTCAACAACTCCTCCCTCGAATCTGGGAGCTCGAGACTGGCTGGGATCGGCTCTTCCACGTCTTCCTCCTGATAGGAACGGATCTGTTGAGATCCTTTCAAAGCCTAGAAGGGGACACCCTCCAGAACTCCTCACTGCTCACGCTGAAGTGTTCCACCAGTCGACTGTTCTTCTCGCAAGAAAATCCAGCTGAGTTGCCGGAGACCAGCCCTGCCTCACATCCAAATGCAGCTAAGCCTGTATGCCTTTTGAAGCCGAACGTCCAGTTCTTTCCACGGCTTCAATCATCCAGTTACACGACCATTCTCATAAAATTCCCACAAATAAAAACAATTTGGTTTTGAACAGAAAAAAGAAGGCAGCTTTTTGATGAACTGCTACCTCTAAAGAACATGAGGAACCCACAGGTTGTTTCACCCACTCCAAAGGTCACCTGCAGTGACCTCCACAGGTCACCCACTCCACTCCCACTCCGGCTCCTCCTCTTTGGGCGAAAGAAGTTGGAAGCGTGAGGCCTAAAAGGAGTCGAGTTGGGGAGTTAGTTAGGTGTGACTGATCAAGCAACATGGGGTCACCGGGTCACCTTTTTTTCCTGACTGCTTATTAGAGAATCGGGTGTCATTGGGTGTCATTCCCCTCACTGATACCTTAGGATCCAACCACCCTCATGACTCTGACCTAAGCAGCGGTGAGTTTTTCACGGCGGTCAAGAACCTCAACTGCCGGCGAAACGACTTCTGTGTTCTCAAGAGAAGGCTGGTGTAAGACCCGAACCCGTCTCGCCGGAGGGAAACGAGAAAGGTAGGCACAACAAAAACTGAAAGAGCTGGAACAGTCAAAATCACTATAGGAAAAGAGTAAGAGTAAGATGATATCTGTCAAACAATAAACATGTTTTATGACGATTATATACATAAATATGTATATATATATATATTACATAAGCAAAACATTTGTTTTAGGCTTTTGACAATAATTGATGTTGTAAACCAATTTATTTTACATACACTCGTACACGACAACATGTGATGAAACATGAAGCACCCAATGAAGTCAAAACGTTGTGCTTAGACTGTCAAACTGTCATGTTTTTTTGATCTTAATTTTGGTTCTGCTATGTTATTTGTTTTGGGGGGTCCGTCCTACTTCCCTCTACAAGAAACATCCCAAAATCAGCTAATGTAATGCACTTCAGAGAAATGTCCTTGGTAGCGCAGCCCGTGCAGCTGCGCGCATCAGTCCCCAATTTTTGCTTCGGCTCGGCTGCTCCGGTTGCAGCGTCTCAGAGCTGCATCGCGTAGCGACGTTCCCCCAGCGGCCGCGTGACCTGCGGCAAAGAGGGCACTGCGAAGGACCTAGGTTCTTGTGATAGGGATGGGAAGGACTTAGGCATCGTGTCAAGCTACTAGTAACTAGTAGCTTGTAGCTACTAGTAGCGTCCTTGCTACTAGTAGCGATGGCCTCCGCCTATAGTGATTGGCCTCCAACCTAATAGTTTCTTGCTTAGAACAAAAAACACTGTGGAAGATCTGGTTCATTGTTTCGCAGAATAGCCCAGAGGCCCAGACTTACCCACATTTGGACATATAGGAAAAGACATGACAAAGGGTCAGGCCATCCACTTGCTCCCATGTGTTTCTTGTTGAGAGGCATCAAAGACTTCCAAAACCCACAAACTTGCACACATGTCTTTGCGCCTCAAACGGTCCCCACGGCCTTCAAACGGTCCCCACGGCCTGTGCCAGGAGCTTTTCCACGGCGCTGTCATGTTGTGCCAGCGCGAAGGGCGAGAGTGCGAAGTGGTTGTGGATTTCAGGATCGGCCCTGGACAAATGCAGGGATCCCAGGGCCCAGTTGAGGGGACTGCAGCAAATTCTGCCGCCCAACGCGCAAAGAAAGCCACACCTGCACTCCAGCAGCAGCTGCACAGCCTGTCACACCGCCGGACGTCCACCGTTTTTGGATGGGGAGGTCAAAACCTCAACTGAGTGGATGTCAACGTTTCATCTGCGTCATCCTCCCCGGAGCTCACTCATAGCAACTCTCCAATTCGCGGAGACTCTGGCCTTATAACGGTGCAAGCTCAGCAGGTGCGAACGTGTACAGTGATATATGGTATTTCCCATGTTGGCAGCCCTATTGCCTACATAGTCACTCTGTTCCAAATGTATCCATACCTGTCGTGTAGCAACTTGTTGTTCTTGGAGAGCACCTGCGCGGATCTAGCACACTCCTCCGCCAGACCCCCAGGCCACCAAACGAGCACGTTGCGGTCCGGGCTTGCCTTACTGGCTTTGAATTGTTGCATACACTAGGGCTCTAAAAGCAGCAGGAACATCACTGTGATGGCCTGTGTGTGCGTGTGTCTGTGATGGCGCGAATGTGAGCGATGTCTGCAGGAGCGACGTAGCATTCACTGGGTTATCGGCACTATTCAGTCGAGCCGTGAACTACCATGTGTTCATGCTCCCACGTATGCACACGATCTGCAGCAGCGACTTAGTAGTAGCAGTGACCAGCACCAGCTGGTGCAAGTCTAGCGCAATGCTGCGTTTTGCTGGCGCTACAAGGTAGCCTACTGTATCCAATTTAAACACGGGAACTCCAAGTGGTGGCCAAGCGATTTCTAAATCCCTGGGAACGTTCCTTACTTAATACATAAGACCGTCTTGTTTTTTTCAGCTCGACTGGGAACCTTGCGCAATCGACTCTGCGTTTGAACCTTCCACATTCATACCATTTATGTATATATATAGTTATATATATATATAAGCCTGTCCAAAACATGTTCATTCCAGTGATCCCATGCTGACTGTCAGGGGCCTTCTGTTTTTTTGCCTTCTTCAGCCAGGGCTCCAAGAACAATCGATTCAGTGGATTTGTGCTTTCGCCAAGTTCCTTTCAGAGTTGAAGAAAGCATCAACAAAACTCTTCTTCAACAAGTTCCAAGTCCGGCTCTTCCTAAAGACCAGAACACTAAATCACAGAAATAGGTTTGACATAGAATAGTCATGTATTCCACCAAACAAGTCCGCCCTTCCAGATGATAAATTATCATGTTACAATCATGTTCTTCATTTTCCAAGATCATGAGGTCATCCATCTCACCCTATTTCACACCACACCCATCAGCATTCACCCAACAAAGACCCTCTCTCCACCTCTTCATCGCTCGCGCTCCATCGCTGAAATCGCTCGGCCGACCTCGAGGTGGCCCATCTCAGCCGCCAGGTGTAGCGCTGTGTTGCCATCCTTGGGCCGCTTCCAATTCACCTCCTGGGCGAACACAGGTGAGGCGTTGCCCAAATCCCAAAGAAGGGTGTGTGTTTTTCTTCTTTCTGGTCCTGGTCCGGCGGCTTCGCCGGATGGCTTCGGCGCATGGGGTGAGCAAAGCACGGGGGGGGCTCTCCCTGGTGTGGTTTTTCTGTGTCGGCTCACCAGGTCAATGACCACAGTGCAGGTGCACGGACCAGGCGGCTTACTTTCCGTCCCAGAAATTGAGCGACCCGGCTGCTCCGCTCTGCAGGAGGGCGACCATTTTCTCCGCCTCACCCGTCATGGCCAATTGGCACAACTCCTGGCAAGTGGATCGCTTGGAAAGAAGTGGATCACCTGGCAGCCTACTGACATAAAAAGGAGTTTCATGGGGAACCAAAGAAGAAGGATTTGTAGAAAAGTATGTATAAATAAGGTACTGTAACACATCCCAGCCGTAAAGGTCTTGTTCATCTGAGGCAAGAGCTTGAACTGGTGCTTTAGACTTACTCGGTCAATCACGCTGATGCTAGACATTTAAGACCAACATTTACACAACTGGTGACCTGGTGCAAAAACAAACCGTGCTGTGGATGTTTTGGTGCTGTGGATTGTCATCTCTGCTATCAAACCAATCTAATGAGCATTTCTGTGAGTTAAACATGGAGCTTTTTACATGAGAATCTACAAGACCCATCCATGTTCCGAACCCAAAGCAAATCACAGCTGTAGGGTCTTCCTTTCATACGGTTGATCGTATGTTCGTCACACATCATCATCTGAGTGAACAATTCCTACTCCCTACTCCTGACAGATTCAAAAAACAACGGCTTTTCACCAGTGAAACTTTTGCACATCTCGGCCTGTGAGGGGAGTTCTTCTTCAAGAAGGGCTCGCACCTCAGTCGCCCGGATCTGGGATGGATCAAAACCGGCTCCGCCCATCATAAGGATGTGTTTTTAAATAGGGAGACACCTGGCCAAGGGGTAGACGGGTCTATTTCCTTTCTTCCACTCAGTCGAACTGACAGGTCTCCCTCATTTAACACACCATTACACACCCATACTTTCTGTAAGCCAATCTGTGGCCGCAGTTGGTCGGTCCGGGATGAGGTCGACCACCGTCACTAGTGTGTACAAACCTGCTTGAATCAAGGGGTGAATTGGACTGCCAGCCAGAATCTGATAACGATGGAAACTTCATATCACTGGTACAGCCTGCTATTGTCCTTCTACTGGTTGGGAAGGGTTGGGTTGTGGGGTGAGTGGTGATTATGTCTTTTCCGCTACAAAAGTGCATGATGTCTGGTACTTGTTGCCTGCTGAGATCAAACGGTACTCAAATACGACTGTAAGTGAACTGGGTTGTTTGGATGATGTGGTGCAACGAATTCACCTGATTCCATTTTCTGGCATGAGGGACAAGGTGTCTCCATGTCTCTCCTATGCTACTGTAGGAAGAACACCTGCAACACCTAGCACCACAGAATCTGATCGAACACCAATCGGCAGTTTTCTCTGAGTTGTATTCCTCAACGAGTGGGTCAGAAGTTCTGGGCGGAACCAAACACGACCTCTTTGGGTTTTGTTTATGTATATACCTACAGGGTCAATGTAAATATGTTCCCATTAGCCCTGTCTGGGATTGGTTTAGGCTTAGATTGCTAAGTCCAGATTCCAATCTTGGATCGGGCCAACACAACCAAACATGTCACGCAGATCGAAACAAAACAGGCCCAAACACCGGCATGATTGAACAGGGCCCACCCTCGGTGGCCGGTCTGGGTTCCTCAGGGATCCACCGAAGTGAAGCAAACTGTGCCGGATCAAAGAGTTGTTCAATTGAAAAAACATGGTTTGTGTACAGTATGTATGTATGTATGTATGTATGTATGTATGTATGTATACTACCCGGATATGAAACAGGAGTAGTGAAACATATATGCGGAAATGAGTCTTCCTATCTCATGCGTCCGCAGTTGCAATCTGACGGGACGGTTTTGGACCCCCCAACAATGTCCAAACCGCATGAAGGAGGCCCAAAAGGTCTATAAGGTCCTAACTCATGAGGACCTATCTCAGTTTTGGCAAACGGGAAACAACATTGCGAGACACTTAAGAAAAGTTTGTGAAGGAAAGTCTGAGCCTTGGGACAAATGAGTTAGGACCACAGAAGTTGTCAATCCCTGTCTCATGTGCTAAATCCAGTTTTTGGTTATTTTCGAGTCCTATCTCATCAGCTTCTCGTACATTTTGCAATG